GCTTATGAAATATAATGCATATTTAGATGACATGTTTAATTGTAAAATATTGAATACTACTTTAAGTTGGAGATGAATATATATATATATGCGTTATTTATTTAAATATTTTTTAATGTTTAATTTTTAATTATTTTATAACTTATATATAAACAGGGTGGGGAGTCCCTGTCCCCGAATAACCCCCGTGGGGATGGGGATGTGGACGGGGATGGAGAATGGAAAGAAAGTCAGGGGCGGGGATGGGGGTATGTCCCCCGCCCCCACTCCGCTCCGTTGACATCTATAAATTTTTTGTTCGATTTAGTCCCTTAGCTACGAAAACGTTACCTAAAGTAATCCTCTGTTAGATTTTACGTTAAATCTATGTTTGACACAAGGAAAATAATGGAGTACATGTTTACTAAAATGTGTTATGTATTTGAGATATATATCATGTAAGAAGGTTTCACAAAATAATTTTCATTAGTTACTCTTGAATTAATAACTCATTTCCAAGTCTCTAACTACTATATAGTGTGATAACACATCTTTTACCATTTCAAATGAATAGTCACAAAATTGAACTCCAGTGGTGGAATATTGATTAAGTGTAATATTAACACCATTAACTATCGTCTTTAATTGTACTACTTTTTTAAATACAAGAATTAAATTAAACAAAGTTAAGATTTAATGATTAAATTGAACAAAATATTATAATAAAGAAAGTTGATGGGTACTTTGACATCAATCGATAATGTCATAATAATAAATAAACAAACCTGCATGGGCAGCTCAATTGGTCATAGAGGTGAAAGCTTGAAAGAATGATCAGGAATTGAATCTCACCAGCGGCAGTCAGTGAAGGGTTTCTTGTGCGATAAACAAGCAATGATAAAATATTACGTGTAGGAATAATAATAAATAATGTTTTTGGGAAAAATAATAATAAATAAACATTTTAAAAATTTATTTGCCTACTCGTGCGGTTTGTTCTCCCACATGGATAATAAAATAATACTTTGTTAGGGAACACGATTAAGTAAAAGTCCTTATTTTATTTCTTAAAATGTGATTCCCCATAAAGATATGCTTGTATTGACAGGATTTGTTACTATAATACACAACTTGTAACGTGATTTTGATTTTGACGTATAACTTTTTTTATTTTATTTTATTTGAATGTGGAGGAAAATTCACAGTTATTATACAAAAATGTGTACTAAATAAATTTATAAATCTCATTTGTGATCGTAATTGATCAAGATAACTAATGAATTACACTCGCTATTTAAACATGTAATTTTATGATTATTAAATCAACAATTAAACCAATTTTGTTAAAATTGTTCCGCTTATCACGTATAAATTTAAATTTACTATTGGTTATGCATGTCAATATCAAGATTCACATGTAACTTTGAAATTGTAATGCTGCCAAATTAATTTAGCGTTTATTTCCACATTTTAATTTTTTTTAAAAAATAAAATAAAATAGACTAAGGTAGACCGAGAATACTAATTAATTAAATCGTGTTAAATGGAATGGATATTATAGAAAAGAGAGTAAGGAACACCATTACTACATAAACTCCTAAAATTATACTCCCTCATTTATACTTCCTGAGTGACAAATTAGGATTAGTTATTTTTATCATGTGGGTGATGCGGTGTAGACCCAACGGGCTTATGGCACAAGAAGGGGAAAGGGTCAAAGCCCAGGGATGAAGAGGCCCAAAGATAGATACGGGCCAAATCGAGTAGTCGGTCGAGTCGAAGGTCGGGACGAACGCGAGATCGGCACAAGTAGTAGGTCGACCTGGAAGTAGCCGTTAGCATTAAAGAAACCTATTAAAACACCCATTTATTTCCCTATTCAAAACCCACTAAATACCCTCCTTATTTCTAATTTTCATAACCCCCCACATAAACTCCTATTTACTACCCAACTAAAACCACCCATAAATTCCTTACTAAATGCTCCAACGGCTATAATCTTGAACCTTGGCTAGCCATAAAAAGGAAGAGAAGACAAGAAGATGGGGGGATCATCTACTCCTACACACTAGAAAACCACTTACTATTCTTTCTCCTCTAAGATGGCATATTACTCATCCTCACGTGGAAGCACTCTTCCTACACTACTCTCCCAAGAATACTCCATTCATCACTCATGAAGAAGACTTCATCCAAGGCTAGAAAAGAGAAGAGATAGCTCTATTCTTACACCATATTACATGTACAAAATAGCTCTACAATATGTACAAAGACACCTACAAAATACATAGTGGATATAGGCTTGGCACCGCCCAAAAAGGCTCGTAGTTTTCACATTCCGATTTTCACGTAAAAAATCATCGAGCCCATATTTTTAGCAGCTTTATTATGAACGGTGAATCCACCAACCACCGTTGTGTTGGACCTTCGAGGGCCCAAAAGCCCTAAAACCAACAGTGGGTACACAGAAAAATGTTTACATCAAAAGCATGTGAGAGGGATACAAGTTGAGAGTTCAAAATAAGAGTACACCAAGTATTTTCCTTTTAAGTTAGGCAATAAAATATAGAATAGTCTAAGGGGGCGTTTGGTTCAGGTCATCTTAGATTACCTAGGTAATCTGAGTCTGGTATTGTTATATTACCTTGTTTGGTTCAAGTTATAAGATTACCTGGTAATGTTATATTACCTGAAAGCTAATGTGGCGGTAATATTTCAAGGTAATGTGATTACCCCCAATTTTTTAGGTAATCTTAGATTACCTTGAATTATTCCAACTTTGCCCTTGTTAACTAATCCTTATATAATAATAATAATAATAATAATAATAATAATAATAATAATAATAATAATAATAATAATAATAATAAATAAATAAATAAATAATAATGAAATTAATATATGTTTATATAATCAAATATATATGTGTATATTTATATATATTTAATTTTTTTAATATTTAAGCATTGATATACATTCATACATATAAATAAATAAACACATTATACATACATATATATATATATATATATATATATATATATATATATATATATATATATATATATATATATATATATATATATATATATATATATATATATATATAATATATATATATATATATATATTATTGAGGACATTATTGTAAATTGATCCATATAACCTAAAATATAACCTTGAACCAAACAAGGTGATATTATATTACACTATCCAAACCAAATACACAAGGTAATCTTACATTCCCAACATCTTACATTACCTTCCTGGAGGTAATCCTATTACCTGAGGTAATCCAAGATTCCGTGAACCAAACGCCCCTAACAGAATTCTCATAAAGGGAATATTACATTTAATTTAGTCATAAAAGTTCTAACCGCCAACTAATGCACCGTACCTTAATTAATTGACCTTTTAATCAACTAATACCAATCATAAAAAGTGACATAACTTTATTGTTTTTTATTCTAAAATTTTAGAAAAAAAAGAAATTAATGAATTGTTATAATAACTATATTCAATGAATTGGCATTCAAAAAAAATTATTCAATGAATCGTGTTAGAAATATTTATTAATTAATTGATATATTATATTTATAATGTAAAATGTCCTAAATTGTAATATTGTGACTGGACTCTATGCTAATCCAACTATCCAAGTGTACTCTATACTATAAAAGTTATATTCACCTTTTTTGGTTATCTACATTCTTAAAAGTTTACCTCTTTCAAGGTGACATGGCATAAGTCATATCACTATTTATTTATTAATTTTTTTAAAACATGAGGTGGCTTGCAATCCTTGTAAGTTTTGTAAAGATTGAAAGTCTGAAAAATGTGACTCTGTTTTGCAGGGCTTATTTAGGAGCTTATAGCTTATTTTAAGCTTCTAATAAGTTATAAGCTCTGTTTGGTAATATTCCCAAAATAAGCATCTGGCTTAAAATAAGAGCTTATTTTGGAACGCTGCCTTAGGTAGCGTTTCAAAATAAGCTCCTAGCTTCCTAACTTTTTTTCCATTTTTATTCTTATTATTTTAAAGAAATGACATAATTTACCCTTCCCAATTAAAACCATTTTCTCTTCTCCTTTATCTGCAACTTTCACCGCAAATATTATTATTATTATTATTATTATTATTATTATTATTATTGAAGAGATTATTATTATTATTATTATTATTATTATTATTATTATTATTATTATTATTATTATTATTATTATTATTATGAGATTTGTCACAATATTGCTACTTCATTATGAGATGCTAGATCATGATTACACTAATAGTTTTATTTTAAAATGTTAAATTTTAATATGTAAACAAACTAATTTAAATTTTATGAAGATGTCCTTTTTAGTCTTTCTACATTTATAAGCTTATCAAAAAGCTAATTTTACCAAATATTTTCAATCATAACAGCTAGCTTAACCGCTCTTCAGTTTTCAGCTCCGAGCTTATAGCTTTTCCGTTTTCAGCTCCTAGCTTATAGCTTTTCAGCTAGGTTTGCCAAACAGACCCAATGTCATGAATAGAGAGATAATTTTTAACCATTTTTTTCTTAGTATTTGTAAAAATTTAAATGATGTTGCATAAGGACAATACACACACAATGATCCTGCATGTATTTCGTGTGTATCTCACCGACGAATTTAAAAAATCTCTGGAATTGACTTGAGTTACACGTATGGTTCTGACTGTATTGACCATACCTTTTGCCGTAACTGGTCACTCCTTACATCGAGACCAAATTGGTTATTGGGCAAACAGGTGTACCAAAAGCTATTCATGTAATAGGATCGCCTTTGGTAGAATTATTGCGGAGGAGCGATAATGTGAGACTCTACTTTGACTTGTTTTTATGTTTAGTTGTTTACACACTTTTGTATTGTCGTTTCTTACAGTCATATTTATGTTAATACACTTTTCAATGATATGTAAACAAGACATTTCCGGACCTTTGTAGAGAAAATGTTACAAAGATTTGTGATCTATCATTTATCAGTTGGTCTATATATATATGATAACTTTAGAAATCACACAAATTGGACCACAAGGAGCTTTACAATTAGAAGTCTTCAAGGATGGAAACAAGATTTTCTTTCCAAAAGGTTGAATCCCAACTTTAAGGACCCCCTACACTCCGGTCGAATACACGAGTTTCAGACTGTACTACACAATCTCTGTAAAGCCTAAATAGGAAAATACTACATCACTCCCATTACATTCTCCCTACTTTTACTTCTACACTTAAAATATCGATATAAACACTTTTATCGGAGCTCACATGAAAGAAAATAACCTATAGAGCCTACCACATCACCAAGTAAATTTGGGAGAATAAAATTTGGGAGTACATGTAGTAGAACTTGTTTAAATAATATATAAGTTTCCCTATCAAAGATATGAACATTAATCATCAATCTCCTCTGCCTCTTCGCCATGATGAACATGTCCACTGCTAAATTTGAGCCATTTCTTGGCCTTGCAAAGCTTCATCAGAAAATGCCACCCAACCCCACCCACCGTCATCAACCCACTCACCAGAAACACAATCTTGGTGGCTATGGCCATGATATAGATCAAGAAAACAGATGGGATGAGGCACATGACCACCAACGCCGGCAGCTTCAACGGCACCCTGTACGGGCGTTTCAGCGCCGGCGCCTTTCTTCTCAGCCACAGAAACGAAGCGAATTCGAGTAACATCCCCAGGCTGTAGAGGAAATTGGCGGACGAGATTAGGTCGGTGAAGTCCAGGTAAGAAACGGCGAGGGAGATGAGCGTTGCGAGGAGGATTCCGACCCAGGGGGTGTTGAACCACTTGGACCTCGCGCCGAAGAATTTGGGGAGGAAGGCGAGGTCGGCTTGGCCTTGGATTTGGTACGCGCAGCAGCTTAGTTGGGCTTCGAATAGTCCGATGGCGGATAGGACTGCGCCGATTTCTACCCAGAGCTGTAGCCATTTTCCGGCCAGCATTTTCGCCGCCACCGCCATGAACCCGGACTCCCACTCGCTCTGGTCCACGGCCACCGCTCCGGTGACGGCGAATAGCGGGATTATGTAGCCCACACACGTGAAGATCACCGCCACGAACAGGGCTAGTGGGTAAATCTTTCTCGGGTTCTCCACTTCTCCGGCCATCGTGCTCACGTTATCCCAGAAATTTAGGTTCCAAAACAGGGTGTTGAAGTATAAGTTCCAGTCTTTCTTCACCCCCTTCTGCCCTAAACTTCCCCACCTGTTTCCACAAATGTTATTCAGATCAGAAATCTGAGAAACAGTTACAATTTATTGAGATTAACAAGAACAATAAACAATAATAATGACAGAAAGTAAAGAATACAAAATTTATATTAGATAAACTCATATTCTTAATCCTTATACTTATACGAGACAACAGAAAACAGAAAGAATGACATGACCTGTGAGGGTGGATTTTGGGGATGGCGATGAGGGACATGAGAACGAAAGGCGCGAGGGAGACGACGCCGAGGGCGACGGCGGTCCAGCCGACGATGCTCAGGCCGGTGTAGTTGAGGAAAGAGAGGAAAGTTGTAAAGACCAGAACCGCCATGTATCTGGGTAAGCCGGAGGAGAAGACCGGGAATATTCTCTTCAGGTAATCGATGCAGAGGGCCGGAAAAGTGGCGATGTTGATGACGCCGCTGAGGAACTTCAAGGTTCCCATCAGCGACCCTACGAAGGGGCCGAAAGCCCGGTGGGCCCAGATCACGAAGCCACCGTTGCCGGGGAATGCGGTGGAGAGCTCGGCGGTGATCAAGGCCTCCGGGATGCTCCAGATGAATGGGAAGATGAGGAAGCCGAGGATGGCCAGCAGTGGGCCGGCGGCTTGGACCGCCGGTTCCTCACCGTAGGGTCCTCCGGCGACCTCGAAGTATATGAGGAAGATGAGTGGGATTAGGGTGAGCTTTCCCTTGTTCTTCTCGGCGGCGGCGGCGCCGGTAGTTGTAGGGAGTTCTTCAGGATTTGACGGCGGTGGCGAGACGGTTGTCATGGTGGTTGGCGGAGTCTGATTTACCATCTGCTGTGCCATTAATATATACTCCGTATTGTATAGTGATCTCTATCTGCCTACGGGATTAAAAGAATCTGACACTAAACATTTTGCTTGAATTATCAGCAGAATCTTTCATTAAATATGGGAAACAATTATGTGCCCATAAAGTTTACAAATAAAAAATAAAAAATTAAGGCAATTGATTCTAATATAATGACAAACACTAATATGAGCACAAACAAAAAAAAAAAAATTTAAAAGCACTAATCCAAACATAAAAATCAGATTATTAATCAGATGGAATGATACCGTTTTTAATTAGGGGATGATATTTTTAATTGAATGGGTAATCAAATCAAATCCCATAGTTGTGTTTTAAAAAATTGTCAACCAAACACTAACTATGATTTTGATTCCATTTGTAGTGTGTAATCTCATGAACCAAACACACCCTTAATTTGTCAGGAAATGAAAGTGAGGGAATAGAAATTTGGAGTATATGTAGTAAAACTCTACAACATTTGTTTAAGGTGTAAACTCAATTAGTTTGATCGATCACTCTAAAAGTTTTATTCCAGCCACAATATAAGAGTTCGAAACTCACCGAGCACCTGAGAATTATGATGAAAACCCTTTGTGTGCGGAACAAATATGACATTGAATATCTACAGTCTACACTATTTGATACTAATATAAGGCTTAGCTTTGGACAGAAATAATTAGTGACATCATAATACACCATCCTAATTAATTACAATATTTTTTTTGGTAACAAATTACAACAATTTCAAAAATTGTAACACATGTTTCAATTGTCGGCACTCGGCAAGTTTGTACCTATCAATATGACGTTTTAAAACAATATTTTTCCAACGATTCATTAATGGTTTTTAATTTCTTTTTCTGGCATGTCATATCTGGACTCTGGCTGCCAAAGTTGACCAAAATGATTATTTAACATTATTGACAGTACAAATGTTGAAAAAAAAAAAAGGAAAGAATAAAGGTAAATTTGGTAAATTATTTTTCAATATGATTGTAATTCGATTCTCAAAAGATTCCAAAGTGATATCTAAAGTTGAGAGAATCTCTTATCTACTGGATTAATCTTTAGATATGAATTGTTCCTTAAGGCTCAATCGTTATACCCTGCACCGGGGACGGAGCCAAAATTCGAGTGAGGGGGGACAAAAAAATAGGGACGAAATCAGAAATTTTTTTCAATAAAAACGAAATATTAAAATAAAAGAGATAATTTAAAAAAAATTAATTAATTAATTAATTTGATAAAATAATTCGAATAGAAAACACATTATAAATTATACATCTCATTATTAATATAAAAGAATATTATATATAATATGTGTGTGCATTAAAAAAACACTATAAAAATAATATGTTAATACTAGGATTTGAAACATTGACCTTTACAATTGCCAAACATGTACTCTACCAACTAATCTAACTCATTCTTATTAACATTTAATAGTTTTTTTTATATTAATACTAAAACATGTACTATATATACATATATACATACAAAGATTATAGGGGTGGGGTGGGGTGAGGGGGGCAGCCGCCCCCCTTTGGCTCCGTCCCTGCCTGCACCACGACGCACATAGCACTGCGTCCCGCGCATCAAAAAACGACGTCGTTTTGGTAAGTTATGTAGGAAGTTGACATGATTATGTGTATTTTTAATACAATTATGTATATTTGTTTATACAATTATGTACATTGTTTATGCAATTATGGCCCTGTTTGGTAAAATGGTTGTTAGCTGATAGCTGTTAGCTGTTGGCTGATTGTGTTAATTAGATGGTATAAATAGTTGATAACATTAGCTGATTGTAGAAAAGTGTTTGGTAAATTAGCTATTAGCTGATAGCTGTTTGGTATAATATCTTTTCTCAAAAAGCTAATTGAAAAAGTTGCTTAGAGTAACTTTTTGAATTTTAACCTTTTGGAGTTGCAAAAAACTAATTAACCAAACATTTCTATTGATATTTTAACTAAATCAAACAATTAATAGTGGAAAAATAAGCCAAAATTGGCCTCTGTATATTTTTTTTTATACAATTATGTACATCCGAAACAAGAAATTTATGTGTATTATGTTAAGAGTTTATGTGTATTATGTTAAAAGTTTATGTGTATTATGTTAAAAGTTTATGTATATTATGTATTATGTTAGATTATGTGAATTATCTTTTAAAAAAAGTATGTGTATTTTGTTATACAATTATGTACATTCATGTATACAATTATGTGTATTCTAGTATAAAACTATGTACATTTTTTAACGTGAGATTTTTTTTAAAAAAAGAAAATTAACTGCCAACATAGGGTAGCAAAATTTCAAAAGAAAAAAAAATAAAAAAAATCTGAAACGAGGTCGTTTTGTATCAGGACGCACAATGCAATGCGTGCTCCGATGCACGATATAAATTGCCCTTAAGGCTCTAGGTGAAATTGTCCAAAGTGTTTGGAGTGAGAGCTAGTTGAAAATTAAAATTTGTTAAAATAGATTATTGAATTAGATATATTTGGTAAAATTAGATGTTACGAAAAATAAAGAATTAATTCCACCAGAGGTCCCTTGTCTTTGGTGGCAATTTCAGATTTAGTCCCAAACTATTATTTTTTACATTTAATATCCCATACTTTCATCTTTTGGATACGTTTAGTCCTTCCGGTGACTTTTTTGGCGAAAGCCTATTATAGGAAAGGGCAATTTGGTCTTCACTTATTTCTCTTGTTTTAAAAACATTTTTAAGCTCAGATTTTTGTTTAAACTTATTTTTAAAGAAGCTTTATGAGGATGTACATGTGAATTTTTGTTTTTTTTTTTAATCAAAACTAAAATGTGAAAAAAAAAAAATAAGTGAAGAGACCAAATTGTCCTTTTTTAAAATAGACTTTCTCCCGAAAGTCATCGGAAGGACTAAAAGTGTCCAAAATATGAAAGTCTGGGATGTTAAATGACAAAAATGATAGTCTGAGACTAAAGTTAGAATTGCCACCAAAGACGGGGGATCTCCGCTGGAATTAACCCAAAAATAAATGGTAAAAACATAAAAAGAATAGGGAAAATGGTTGAATAGACTCTTAAACTCGGGGCCGGCCTTGAGGGGTGTGCGAGATGGGCACTCGTCCTGGGCCCAACATTGCGAGAGACCCCTAGTTTGATTTTTTTTTTTTTTTTTTTTTTTGAAGTTAAAAAAAATATCAAAAAAAATGCTTACATATGCAAAGATTTGAATCTATGAGTTCAAAATTATTTATTAATTTTAAATCGACTTAACAATTACAACTATGAGATATACTTATATCAATTAATAGATATATATTAGCTAACCAATGTTAAATTAATTTATAATTAAACTTCATATAGGGGTCCAAAGTTTAAATAACACTAATTCAATACTAATCTATCTACTTGCGAGAGGCCCCTAGCTTAATTTATATTAGCTAGCCAATGTTGATCCCTCACGGTCTCTACTTGTTTCCTTGCTTTCTGTTTCCTTTATATGTAAAGGTGGATTTGATGTTTAGTTACTTCTTGACAATAATTAATATATATATATGTCGAATCTAGTTCAAGATGTTTGAAACATTGTCATATGAATAATGGTAAATTTGATTAAAGTGATGGTATTTTGAAAAGAATTTGATCAATTTCAAAAGTTAAAAAAATTAAAATTTGTCAAATTAATATTTTTTTTTGAATGCTACTGGCTCTATTACAATGTAGTGTCTGTTCATATACTTTCTCAACCTACTGAAACACAAAAAATCAATAACGCCTCCACCGAGGCGTTGAGGCGTCAAATTAATATATAGTTGATACTTAAATGTGAAAATATCATTAAGACAAATTGATGAGTTTATAATATATAAAGTATAAATATGCCATTATTAACATTCAGATAGAAAATTGTAATTATTAATTTATTTTTTAACTTGGGTTGCAAATTGTAGAAATTAATGAGAATTAATAACTCCATTAATTAACTTACCTTTCAAATTAATTGGATTTGGCATTAACAAGTCAACATATATGTGTGAGCCGTGTGGCATGAAAATAATATTTCGAAGATATTCTGAAAGACTGAAACCTAAAACTAAAACAGTCAAGAGACGTGACGCAAACGGGGAATAGTAGAGGTGGACAGGTGGTGGGCGCTAATTATACCATGAATCAGGTCTACCTTGTATTTTAGACTCTAGTTCAAAAATAACCTTTAAATTTTGTATTTATAGTTGACACATTTTGTACTTGCAGTTAATAGTTTCTGTACATATAGTTATTATATTGTGTGTCATCAATTATCAAGTCAGATTCTGTATCTATAGTTGACACATTTTGTACCTGCAGTTGATAGTTTTTGTACCTGTAACTATCATAATGTGTCAGCAATTATCAAGTTATTTGCTTACATGTACAAAAACTGTTAACTGTAGGTACAGAATGTGTTAACTGAATGTACAAAATTTTCGTATCAGGGTGCAATATGAACCCTAGTCCATGGTATATCAATTGGATGGTGGGATAGTGAATCAATCATTATTGTATAAACTATACTATCAAATAATGTACATTTAATAGACAAATAATGTACTTTTAGTATATAAAAATATATCTTTTTTTATAATTCACACAGCATTTTATAGATTATAATTCACACAATAATTTGCCGATAGTGCTATAATTGTTGGACTAGGCCAGAGTTCCAAGACTTGTTCCTAGAGCTTTTTTTATGGGCTTACTCACAAGTCACTCAAGCAACCCTTAGGTTCCCGTCCCAGCTTGTACACTTCTATACATAATGAGTCGTTGCATAATTGATCAATCAGCGCTCTGAGTTCTCAGTATGGTTCGTTGAGTGTTGATTGGTTTATGCTCTTATTTTTAGTAAATTTTAAATTCCTTCCTAATCTCTTGAGGTGGGACTTAAGTTAATTGATCAATGCCATCTTTTATTATTATTATTTTTTGTTAAATGATTAACTCTAATATGTAAAGTAATATATTGTGTTTGAAAATAGATTGTGGATTTGGATGGGTTGAGGAATATTGTGTACAACTGTTAGGATTTAGGAATATGTCTTTATAATATTAAACTAGAATATGATTTTAAAAATACGATAATAAAATAATATTT